TTAAATACTTGATTGTATAATTGTATAATGTTATTATTCCTGAGTTAATGAAATTAATTATAAACCATAATTATAAATCCTGAACTTGAAATGATAAGTAACCTGAATAAATTAGAAACAATATTTAAAGTTGAAGAAGTTAAAAGATAATTAATGGATGAATATTAATACTAAGGATGATGACAAACTTGGAAAGATATTGGAATAAATTAGATGAAAGGTCTGATTCCCTTTCTAAAATAATTGAATCAGTGGTACCTTTTAAAAATAATGGAACAACAGTCTTACCTTCGGAAAAAGACTATAAACTCCTTAAAAAAACTGTAAAGTCACTCTAATCAGATAGTTCTTGAGGAAACTAGGAACCACCGGTGTCAATGCCACTCGAGTATGGACTATAAATAATCCGAAGTGTGAGGTCTAAAAAGCAAAATGCACCTTATTCTCAGGATGGTTATAGTCTACATTAAGTGGTATATTTGAAGTCTAATTAGACTTCAAATATACCACTTACTTGAAGATAATATTATTTTCAAGTTTATACTCTACTCACCTAATAATAAGACACCAGTTGTAGATAGTCCTTCTCTTGATTATTCCAGAACTAGTATCAAGTAGGATATATAATTCTTTCAATAAAGTCACTGATATTACTGAGGTTGAACTTGAATTACTGGAATCTTTATTCAAAGAGTTTAATATTGAAGAATATGAATTATTACTTTCAACAGATAAAATTTACTGATATATTTCTTCTCAAATGCATAACCTCTTAATATTGCCTATTATGTAAATGAGAATATGATAATAAAGAACCATATAATAGTAAAAATGTATGTGTTATCTGAAATAAAAAATCATATAATTTCTATTGTCACTATGCAAATCAAAATAAAAAATCTGATACAAGAAAATCTTCATTGAAACTTATCATTAATGAAACAGTTGAAAATCAAGAGAAAAACCTTTCAAATTCAATAAAATTAGACTGATGATCATTTATATAGGATGACTTAGTACATATATATACTTCTAAAAAAAAATTTACACATAATGAAGTATATAGTATTATTGAAATCACGATTGCCTATATCCAAAAGAAGACACTAACCTAAATACTCAAACATAAAGATAAAAATGGAAAACTCTGTTTTGATATGGAACTTAAGTTAGAACTTATAAAATATACATTAAATATAATTAAATATATGGGAAACTGATAAAATTAATATCTTTAATAAATAATGTACTAATTAATGATATGATCTTCTATATTGATATGGATTTTATACTATACCCTTCAAACATCTCCTCATCAAATATCAAATTCTTTAATCTATTTCTAAGATTCAAAGTTTAACCAATATTCAAGATTAACTCTGCTATTATGGATTTAATTCTTTGGCATACAAAAAATATAATCTCTGATGAGAATAAAGAACTTAGTAAATATTTTTGACACTGTTGGAATATCTAGTACAACAATTATCTAAAAATCTGAAATGATTCAAGTGTTGTATTCCTTATCAAGTTGTAGAAAAAATATCTTAATTAATTTTATAGATAAGAAATCCTTGAATTAAAACTATTCTATATGACTTTTAAACTTGAAAAAAATTTTGAACCACTGTAATGATCTTACCTAAGCTCAAAAATTAATTATTATGAATGAAACAGGAATGGCTAACAGAGATTGACATAAATATAATGACTATCTTAAATTACTTATTACAAAAGACTACTTAACAATTGAGTATAAAAGCTTGAGTTCAAAGTTATAAACAATTATGTTGAATTTATGATTACTAATAACTATAATATTCCAATTTGAGTAGAAATAGATAGTCAGCATATTGTAAATTTCAATATGTCACCCTGTTACAAGGGTAACATATCATATTTTAAATGATTGAAAAAAATTCTCAAATAACTTGATGCATCAGGAATGGTTTTAGCTTACTTCTTTAGTCTCAATTTTTCAAACTGGAGTTTACAAGAGATCCCTATTACTAAAATGAAAACAGAAATGATGATAAAACAACTTTCAAATCCTACTTACTTTATAATACAATATATTAATTTATGGTCTAAAAATCAAATTGAAAAACCAATCAATGGTAATTTATATCAAGATTATCTTACTTGGTGTGGAAATGAGAACAAATATCTAATCAGTAACAATAAATTTAGGAACTTTCTTCTACTAATAAGAATTGAGAAGAAACAAGTATAAATTAATAGAAAGAGAGAAAGGATATATATTCTCAACTGATTTAAAATTGTAACTGAGTTATGTGAATTATGAAGAATTTTTTGGTTTACCTCAAACTGAGACATTCACCAATGCATTTATAAATATCCTTGTATTCAATATACCTAAAATTGTTATACTTTCTCAACTAGAAAAAAAGATAACAGTAATATTAACTACTGATTATAATAAAAAAGGCAAGTCTGCTTCATCTATCACTAACATGACTTAGGATCTCTTTGATTCTATAACAAATGAATGTTCAGTTACTCTGATATCTAGGTTTACTGATATATCTCCATCCCTTAAGATCAAAAATGTAGAACCTGTGAACAATAAATTTGAACTACTTGAAATCAATGAATTAGTAGGTGATGAACCTAATTACTTTTTCAATACATCTGTTAATAATGAACTTGAGATCTTTTTTGACTTACCTGTAAATATTAAACTAGAAGAATCAAAGAATCAAGGTTATGTCTTATCCAGTAATGAAAACTTTATCACCCAGTTAGAAGCACCACCTTCCTTATATCAAACTAAGGAGTAACAAAAGTTTCATTTAAAAAAGTAGGCAGTTGATAATGGTGTGGATCCAAATAAGTTTATGATTATAATTGAAAAAGATAAACTTGATTTAATATCATTTAAGGATAATGTGTCTTTATAAAGAAAGGTAAAGAAAACTTCTAATAAATATATGGATATAGAAATACATTGTTATCAAATGAAATTATCAAGGTAACAATACTTAATATTAATAGTACAATAATACATAAAAATAAATTAAATATAATTCAATAATTCATAAATTAATAAATTTCAATAATATTAAATAAAATTATATTAATTAGACACATGATCCATAGTATAGATTATGTATTCACATAATATAGTTATGCAAATTTTATAATTATAATATAGTATTAATTATCATTACATTATTCTTAATCAATAATAAGTTAATTATTATTAGATAAATTTAATAAATCATATGATAAATATATTAGTCAATAGAAATAATACACAGTAAGATACAGTAATGACACAGTAATAGCACAATAATGTAAATTATCTAAAATACTTATAAAAAGAATCAAAGTTCTACTTTAATTCTTTAGTTTACAATTTTATGATTTTAAATTTTGATAATTTGTAACTTATTTGAAATTAATAAATTTAATTTTATAATTTGCAACTTCAAGATAAACACTTGTAAAAATTACCTTGCAATTAAATTAATAAAATAATAAATATTAAAAATATAAATAAAAATTATAAAAATAATTATTATATATAAAAATATAATAGTTAATAAGAGAATAATATATATTATAAAATTAAATACTTGATTGTATAATTATATAATATTATTATTCTTAAGTTAATAAAATTAATTACAAACTATTATTATAAATCCTGAAATTTGAATAATATTTAACTTTAATGAATTGAAATAATACTTAACCCTGATAAAATTAAAAAACAATTAATGAATAGATATTAATACTAAAAGTAATGATAAACTTAGAAAATATTAAAATAAATTAAATAAAAGATCTAATTCACTTTCTAAAATAATTGAATCAGTGGTACCTTCTAAAATAACTGAACAACAGTCTTACCTTTGGAAAAAAATTATAAACTCCTTAAAAGAACTGTTAAGTTTCTTCATTAGATTGTTCTCAAGGGAACCAGAAATCACTGGTAATAATATAAAAGGTTAATAGGGGAAGAAATAATTTAAGCAGTCTTGAAGATAAAGAAATTACATTATCATAACTTGATATTGATGATGAATAAAAAAAAAAATTAATATATTTTAGAAAAATGGAATGTATAGTAAATTACTTAATTAGTAAGAAGTGAATAAATGAGTTTTGTAGGTAGAAATTTTGATGTAGAGGGATTTTTTGTTTTCTACAATTAAACAATATAAAAAATCTAAATAAAAAATATTTTTCTCAGAAAGTGTACTTTGTGCATTACGTAAATTCTATTCTTTATATCTATATATACTGATATTTGTATTACTTACAAATGATATTTAAAAAATTTTTAGTTAATTTTCTATCTTTAACTTTGATTTTAAATATAAAAAGAATATAAAATAATAAAAAGAGTTAACTAGTAATCTTTCAGATAATAAAACAAAAGAGCAAGCTTGAAAAGCTAGAGATCAGATCAGGAGATACTTTTAATAGCTGGAGTTAAGTAAGGAGTAAGCAGATACTTTTATTCCTATTCAAGCTCCTGAAAAATATATTGAGAAAAGAAATCATATTAAAATTATCACTCGAAATATTATAAAAAACAATCTTTCACTTAAAAAGATAAATGAAATAGCATATGACTTAGCTTCTTCTACCTTCATTACTGTTACAGAAAATTCATGTCTTAATTTATTACAAAAAGAGTTGCACAAACTTGGAGTTAATTATCTTACCACTGATATAATAAAAATACATTTTATTACTGAAAAAGCAAAGCAGATCCAAACAAGAAAATGTATACTTTATGAAATTAATAGTTTCAATTGGCTCAAATTCTTTTACTTGAAAAAAGTTCAGAAAAGGTTTAGCAAATATGATATTATCAAATCTCTTTCAATGCAAAATCTAATAGACATAATAGTAATACTATGTATGTGATCAGCAAATGTATAAACTTTTTATATTAATTGATATAGACCAAGTCATGAATTATAATATAATACTAATTATATATGTTCCCAAAATTGATTTTGAATTTTTGAGGTATTTCGACTTTTTGAGATTTATGCAAAATCTATTCTATATATGGAAGTAAAAAAAATATTCAGTTATATGTATCTTTAATCAAAGAATAAATCTGGGTGATCAAAAAATTTCAGGTTTTAAGTAAAATAATTTTGTTTTCTATGAAAACCTATTTTGACTTTTTTCCCCGAAATTGCAATTTCGGGATCCAAAATAATTTTGCAAGCAAGTATAATACTAATTATTCTTTGTATTGTACTAATTATGCAAAAAATAAAGATGAAGTAAGAGAATCTCGACCATTTTTCTCAATAGAAAAAAATCCAATACAAGTAAGAGAGTTACTTATCTAAATTCAGAAATCAATATCCCAATTTTCATTTTTGTTAAAAGGTAAAGATAGAAATACTAACATTATACCTTTTAATCAATTCTTAAGTAGTGTTACCTTTGATTTTATCTTTATTTCTATTAATTAATTATATATTTTATTATTATATATTTTATATCATATATTTATTATTTTATTATTATTTATTATTTATTTCTTATTATTATATATAGTATTACAGTAGATCAATTTATCAGGCTGTAGTACAAATTAAATATTATTACTTAAATTAGTAGATTTCTAAATTCTTGTAAATACAAGCCATAGTGCAAGTTAATATCTCAGTTAAAGTACAAGTTAAATTAATAGTTAGGTATTAGATATAATATTAATATAGATACTAGTGAAGTTTCAAGTCAAATTACAAGTTAAATTTACAGTTAAATCTATTATGTATATAAAGGCTAAGAATTTTCTTAACTCAATCTTCAGTTCAATTAGTTTTTTTAGTTAGTCTTTTAGTTCAGTAGTTTGATTGAGTTAATTAGTTAGAATTTAAAAGTAATAAAGTTAAAATTACAAAATTCTTTAAGTTCATTGTTTATTGTATTCTTTTGATAATTAATAAACTGTTTATCCCTATTAACAAGTTATCATACTACTGTTAATAGTTAATACGTCTCTTTCATAATTGATCGTACTTAATTTCTTCTACACTGTTATCTGTATAAACCTTCTACAATTTACAAAGACAACAGGGTAAAATAATACTAAAACTAATAAATAAAACTAAGTATAACTATAA